AAAAGGAACAAATGCTAATTACTCTGCATATCTCTAGGCATTGCACATAGAAATGCAAGTTGTAAGCACCAAATATCCTCAGACACATCTCCTAGCAGGAATACTGCAATTATTACAATATTTAATCGCTTAATTTTGCTCAAAATGTTCTGTTACAGATCATCTAATTTTCAAATGTCTCTTAGTCACAATCTGGTGGTAAGCAACAGTGAAACAAATTATACAATTCATGTATCCTGAAATATCATCGGATGTACTTTGATAGCCTTTGTGCAACCAGGGCGCGCAGAATAATAGTCATCATAGTGAATGGTCTTTATCTACAGCTGGCAGTTCAACTTTTAATAAAAATGTAACTGGCTTCATTATGAGGGTGAGCTGATGCAGTTGTTTACACTCGGGCTTCCAAAGGCTTATCTCTGCTTACGATAAATTACTTTGAGCAGGGCAGACAGATCTGTAAGCTGTTGTATTTAGACACAACACAGCCTAACGCTCAAGAGACCACAGACTCTTTGTTTTACAATATTCAGGGCAGAGTTAAGGCAATGTTTTTTTTTACAGATCCATTTAGACACATGTGGCTTTCAGATGACAGGCTGCATGGTGGGGGGGGGGGGCAGAGAACAGCGTCTGTGGTCTTGGTGATTTGTCACCAAATGAGGTTCACTAAAGCTGGCAGTGTATTGTTGGGCTAACTACTGATGTGAAACCGGGTCATGAATCAGGCGCAGGCACGGTATATTCACAGTTGTGGTAATAATGCTTAGAGATCCGATTTATTTTTATAATTTCTACTGCATTTCACAATTGATGTGCTTCATATTCCACATGCAGGTAAGATGGATAGGAAAAATGGGGGTTCTCTTTGAAACCAACCCTAAAAGATGAAATGCCAGTGGTGTGCTTCACAGGGGACTTGAGAGCATCTTTAGTTTGTGTGTTACAAAGGGGCCATATTATTCTAGTTTTCAGGTTCATATTCGTTTGTTGGTTTAAAAAAAGGTCTTCCAGGTTCTGCTGTAGCAGCTCTTTTCACCCTGTGTCTGAAACCAGAACCCAGTCTGCTCTGATTGGTTAGTTGGCCATGCATTGTAGTAGTAGTAGTAGTAGGTAGGCTGGCTAATAGAAGCGCAAGTGTTACATAGTGATGACATTATGTTAAGGAAGTAAACAAAGGAGTCCAATGGAGGCGTTTCAGGCAGGGTTAGGGTTGTGTGGGAGAGAAACTCCCTCTGGAAGGAACTTTAGGATTTTAGCCGTAGCAGAGCATTTACATGCAACCTTTATAACAAGCAGGAAAGTGAAACCCTAAAAAGCCGAGTAGGGCCTCTTTAAATGAAGTGAACACTTAAACTCAATGAGGTTTCACTTTTAAAGCACAAGTCAATCGGGTGATTCTATCCAGTTCATTTCTGGCAATATATGAATTTTATCAAACTGCTCCTAAAGTCCAGCTTATCTAAAATGAGAGCCGGGTGACCTAATTGTTGGCGTTACCAGCAAGAGCTGATATGGATGAAGAGATTAAGTTAATGCATACATACATACAGCTACATCTATTCGTCATGATTTCTGTGAATCCCTTTAAGAAAGCATTTCAAGCTCTGAGACGAAAAGATAAGCCTTGAGAATTGGCATCAGTATTTAATGTAATAGGAAAGTAAAGTATGTGTACAACAACAAATGAAGCTCACATGAGCATTTTAATCTAGTATTTTTTGTTCTAAAAAGAAAAACAGGGTCATTTTCACTTGTCTGAGAATAGCATGGGTTTCCTTCAGGATCTCCCCTTACCTCCAATAGTGGCATGCATGCCATGTGAAAAGGTGACTGGAAATTGCCTGAAGGTGTGAATATGAGAGTGTGCACAGTTTGTCCATATCAATGTGTTAGCCCCGTGACAGACTGGCGACATGTCCAGCAGGGTGTACCTTATACCCAGGGGTGCACATAACTGGTACGCAGGTACGCATGCGCGGCAACAATCCGAAATGCGTACCGTCTCTTGTGTCACAAAGCGCATTTACATACCGACGTACTTGTGAAGCTTTTCCAGAAGGCGGTTAGATCAGACGACAGAGTCGGTCTCCGTGTGCACAGACAGGGCTGCTGTTAACGTCGGTCTGTACAACGGAATTGTGCCAAAACTACGCCAACCGGCTGCGGAGGGAGACTCCCCCCCTTCACTGCGCTAAAACAGCTGATCACAACGGTCACGCTCCATGTGACCATCCACAGGACAAGCAGGTCTATAAAATAGATTGATGGATCGAAGGAAACTGGTGAAGCATATACAAATGAATGATAAACAAATTCAACTCTTACAAACTGTTTGGTGAAGAAGACTGACAGTTGTTGTACATGCAAAATATAATATGTGCTAAAAAATAAAATAAAAATTGCTTCATTGGTTTGTAAATGGCAGCAATTTAAGTTGTTCCAAAAATCTATGGCAATATTTTCAAGAATTAATGAGATATTTTCCTAACATGTGTGTCTTTGGTAGAGCCAATAACATAAGGTTTTTGAGGAAACACCATCTGTATCAATGACTCCACATTATTATTGTACCCTTTCATTATAATCATAATGACTCTTACGTCAAATGTATTCCTGTGACAGTGGTGGTAATGAAAATTCAGCTCCAGGGAAAGATTTTCAAGCTAATCATTTTGATGAATCATGTGATTTTCTTTGCAGTGTTCTTGTTCACCACTGACAATTGCGTGAGGTTTTATACAAGCAAGTACGAATGGTGCCACTTATAAGTGAGGGTGATTATGAGCCTAACAAGGCAAGGTTATATTAGTGAGAATGCACAAATAACATTTGAGAGATAATAGAGAAGAAGAAAAATTCACAAGAAACCAGCACTACTTGCTGGCACAGACTTAGAACTGGTTGACTTCGTCGGACAGTTGTATGACCTTAGTGGGCAGAGGAACCCTGACGTTAAACGGACTGGATTAAGGTCGTCACTAACCTTTTCTATTTCCCCCTATCGGTGATTCGAGGCTTGCTTCTTTTTCATTTGCCTTTAACCATCTGCTCTTATGCTTGTATGAACTCTTAACCTATTTAATTTCCTTCTCCATCCCTTGGCCTTCCCAGCTAGCGGGGAACGTTCTCACAACTTTGGCTAATGTTACCTATTGGTTCTAATAAGGTTTTAAAGAAACGTTTTAATCTGATGTTCAAAGAACCTTTTTAGGATGTTTATTTTTTCAAATAATGTTTCTATAAGGTTTAAGGTTATCTAAGACATAAAGTTTTAACTGCAACATTCAGAGGATGTTATTAAGGCCTGAGATGACAGAAAGTTTATTTATAAAACGTTCCTTTAATGTGATATGTTAACGAAGGTGGAACGTTTTGCCTGCAACATTCAGAGGATGTTTTGAGGATGTTATTGAGGCCTGAGATGACAGAAAGTTTATTTATAAAACGTTCCTTTAATGTGATATGTTAACAAAGGTGGAACGTTTTGCCTGCATCATTCTAAGGATGTGTTTTGGACGTTGCTGGGTAACACATTACAGATGTTCTTTATAAAACATTCCCTCAATGTTACAAGAAAACCAAAGAAGAACATTTTGAAAGCAACATTTGGATAATGTTTTCAGGAGGTTATTCTTTTTTTATAAAATGTTCCTGTGATGCGAAATATTAACAGGGTCATGGTCAACGTCAGATTTATTTGTAGTGTGCTTTAAAAAACAAACTTGTTGCATTTGTTTGAAAAGATGTTTAAAACAAATCTGATGTCACCACAAAAAAACAAGCAGGTAATTCTGAGAATGTTACCATTCATTGTTCTAGGAATGTTTCATCGAGAAGTTTTATTTTGGTTCCTAGAACGTACTTCTGAAAGGTAGGATAACGTTCTCTAAAAACATTCTTAAAATGTTTGGTGATAACATTGTTCCAACATTATACCCCAAGTGTTTTTGTTGTTTATGCAAATATCTCTATGGTCATATGGATCGAATAACACTTAGAAAACCAAAGACAGACATATAGAAGAACGGACCGACTATCACTGCCCGTCCCTGAAACCCCTGTTAGTGGGTTAGTGCCCCCCCCACCTGCCTGCTGGTCTACTCTACACGGCTGGGAGCAATCTCCAATCAACCACACCTGCAACCGGCTCACCGGCCACACCATGAAAGCCTGCAGCCTGCACTCATTCCCTGCCGGATTGTTGCCGTGAACGGTTTGTTGCGTGCCGCTCTACCTTTTTACCAGCATATCTATTGACAACTTTGTCTGCTTTTGCCTCACACTCATTTTTGTGTCTCTCCCAGGAGGAATCCAAGGCCTTCCACACTCCCAAGACCAGCCAGGCCTCTCTACCCACCCTGGAACAACTGTTTCCCACTGCCGCCATAACCAACCTCCACTCCCAGCTCCCCTTTTCTAATAAACAAATGTTACGCTCACCAGCTGATTCCGAGTCATCCTTTTACATGTGTTAATAGTCCAATTCCAATAGTTAAGTAAACTATCATAATCATCCTAATGACCACAGTGGGCAGTGCACTTACCCAGGAATTTTGAGTTGAACATTTACAGGAATATTATGTCTTTATGTTCTAATAATGTAAACATAGTTTAGTAAATTGTTACCACAGAACATTTGCATACTTTTTTTTAACATAAACCATGTTATCCTTCTCTAAAATAATAACATTCTGGCAACATAAAAAATCTAACTTGCAGCTGAAAATGTTTTAAGAACAGTAGGGCATAATGTTCTAACAATGTTATCAAAACAAATTTAAGAAGGTTTTTAGAGAACGTTATGCTACCTTTCAGAAGAACGTTCTGGAAACCAAAATAAAACCTCCCGCTGAAAACCTTCCAAGAACAATGACTGTAACATTCTCAGAATATTTTTAGAACCAAACATTTCTAGCTGGGTTTCCACACTTTCTTACTGCTCTAACTCTCTTCTACTCTTTCCTTCCCTGCCATCCCGATACGCTTTCCCTCTCCAGCTGGGTTTGTGAAGTCGCCAATGTCTGAGACTAAGCTTACGGGGGACACCTTTGAGCTGTACTGCGACGTGGTCGGTAACCCCACTCCGGAGATCCAGTGGTGGTACGCTGAGATCAACCGAGCTGACTCCTTCAAGCAGCTGTGGGACGGAGCCCGCAAGCGTCGGGTATCCATCAACACGGCCTACGGCGCCAATGGGGTCAGTGTGCTCGGCATCACGCGTCTCACACTGGAGGACTCTGGGACCTATGAGTGCCGGGCCAGCAACGACCCCAAGCGCAATGACCTCCGACAAAACCCTGCCACCACCTGGATCCGCGCCCAGGCCACCATTTCGGTGCTACAGAGTGAGTGGTCTATGTCCTGTAGTTCCTAGATGATTCATAAATTACCATTCCCCTGTCCCTACCACTCACCCGTAAAAACCTCTCGAGAGCCAACAGCAGTCACTCGTTAGACAAAAATATCAATTTAGTATTATTAGTGTCTATAAAACATTCTAGATGTGCAAGTCCCTTAAGTCCCGTAAGCCAGTCATTGCCTTTTGTGTTTGTTTTCATTAATATTCAATTTAGTTTCCTAATTGGGTTTGGTAAATATTTATGTTCTCGTCTACAGAACTCAGTAAACTCCATGTTTCTCCCCAATCCTTAGTGTGTTGTTGTAAAGGACCACAAACCCAGAAACTTTTCTCTATCCACACTTCCTTCTTCACTTCCACACGCAACCTTTGTTCTTACTGTCTCATGTGTCCTTTTTATAATGTTCTGATCATTGTCTTTTTCTCTGTATCCTAATTTAACACATTTCCTATCTGTGTATTTATTTGTGATACTTATTCCCCAACCGTTATGTTGTGTCTCTTGTTGATTGTTTTGTTTACTTCAAAGCCCGGCCTGCTAAAAGCAGCGGAAACCTTAGTGGTGCTTTGAAGTTGTGGTGCTTTTGAATAGGCTTTCTTACTCTGGGCATAGTTTAAATGGGCACCGTCAGAAGACACAAGCAGGGATCCGTTAAGGTGTCAAATGAGTGTTTCCTGCTGTCAAATCCTTCCTGATAAAAGCAAACCGTTTCTGCTTTAGTATCTGTTTGTGGTAAAGACCACGAGAGGGCCTTGAGTGTCTCATTCTCGTCGAGATGAGGCAGGTATTTCTCTTCCAGCAAACAGTCTCTCTGGACTTGCCTGTGCAATGTGTAACCTTGTGCCTTCTCAGCCATTAAGCATGTGACTGTGAATCAGTAATGACATTATATCCTTTAACTCTCTGCACTATGCACACACAACATTCAAACAAACTGAATTTCAACTGGACCTTCCTAATCTGTACATGCTTCAGTGCCCTGCCCACTGGAGCACAGGGATATGTGGAATGTTGTTAGTCATAGTGAAGCTCTCTGAGAAGCTTAGAGGAGTTTGATCCATTCTGGCTTTTCTGATTGGACTGACACATTTTGATTTATGTGTGAGCACTATTTGATTAGGTGTGGGGCAATTCAATATCATAAGAAGTGCTAAGGACTTTTCACATGTACTTGTTTTCTGCTATCCAGTCCTCACTAAATATATTCTGTCATTACTGGGGAGTACGTTTTGTTCACATATATGTAACATCCATTTTAATACATGTATATAACAGGATAGATATATACACTATAGCCCATTGATATAGCTTGTTGCTGGGGAAACATGCCAAAGTCTGATTGCTGTTTGATTTAATTTTGTTTGTGAATCACTCCTAAATTCATGTCCCTAGAATCCGTTTATATAAATAGTAATTCCGTCTCTTTACAACACTTTTTAATGACTACTCTTTTTAGCATTTGGATGAATTGAATTAACCAAAAAACTTAAAGGAGCAAAAACATATGCATGCCTGGATAATACTGCATGTGGGATACACCTACAAAGCAATTCTGCATGTGCTTAAAGTAATACTCTACCCAAATCTGTATTGTTTTTCTCATTTAACTCAAAGCAGGAAAGACAATTAGCATTTGTCCCATAATGTCACACTTCGTCTAATTTAACTGATTCCAATGATGGCCAAATGACTGTTGAAACAACTTGAACCACGGTTTCATCATTGCTGGCTGTTACACCAACATGTGGCTTAATACAGTGCTGCTGTGTCGCACTTCATATTCATCATCACCCTTTGAAAAAGTCCTTTTAAAATGTTCTGGTGAAATTGTTGTTGGGAATTTAAGGCAAGGCAAGTTTATTTATAAAGCACCTTTCAACACGAGGCATTCAAAGTGCATTACACAACATGAAAGACATTAAGAGCATTTAGATACAGTGCAACAGAATCACATTATAAAATGACATTTAAAAACATGTATGGTAATTATGCTGCATGAGTGGTGTTGCTGTGGATTTTACTTTTTTTTCACAGTAACAAATATTTTTATCCTGGGAATTCAATGTTCCAGTCAATAAGGGGTGATTTATTCATGCTTGAATACATAAGCAATCATGTTGTATCTCGTATAGCTTTACCTTATGACATGAATCTCAGTGGATTCTGGGAACGGACATACTGTACAATAAAAGCAGTAAGCATGTCTGTGATACTTTGCTTTTCAAAACAGCCAATGCAAATGTCCACTGTTCGTATACTATAAATAGTCAAACAAATATGTGTTAATTAGACACAAGAATGTATTAATAATGGCATGTCCTTATTAAGAATGAGGGGTTTAAACCACGTGCTAAGACGGCCCACTATTCTGGTTTGATTACTGGGACATCTCTCTGTTGGTGCACCTTCTGCATCATAATGTGCTACAATAATATGATTTTGGGACTTTTACAATGATATAATCCTCCCCCTTAATATAAAAACATTGCCTAGTTGGTTGCATATCTTTGCTGATAATGCAATCATTCAATACCCCTGATTTAATATCTGTCAGTTAATTGGATACTATCTAAATGCAGCACTGTATAACAGCAGGAAGCAAGAGGGGGATCAGGCTTCACCACATCTTGAGCAACCGTATATTTTTAGTAACAATGTGATCGAGGAATACAATATCCAACAGTTACCACATTTGAAGTTGCGACAAGGTGTCCTACAAACAACCTTCTGGTTAAATTGCCTGTGGACCACGGTGCCGTGTTTGCTAAATGCTAATTTATGTACCTCATGTTGTGTGTGTATGCATGTCTCAAATATACTATAAATAGAACATGCGGCTCTGCTTGGGAGGGGGGCGAGAGATGTATGGGGGAGGGAAGAGATATCCCCTCAGCTATTGAGTGTACAGAATTGCAGGAGGAAGGTGCCATGAATGCTAATAGATGACACTTGCAGATCTCAGCCGCCCCTCTTAGCCCTCTGCTTCCCCTATGCCTTGCTAGTGGCTTTGCATCAGCCAGTAGTAGGATTATGATGCTGCTCCTCTCTGCTCCTCCCCTCTGGGGCTCCTCCGTTGCCATGGTTGGCCCGCCCTGGAGGAGGAGGAGGAGGAGGAGGAGGAGGAGGAGGAGGAGGAGGAGGAGGAGGAGGAGGAGGAGGAGGAGGAGGAGGAGGAGGAGGAGGAGGAGGAGGAGGAGGAGGAGGAGGAGGAGGAGGAGGAGGAGGAGGAGGCGGGGCAGGGAGGAGGAGGCTTCCTGCTCACTACTCAGAGCAAAGGGCGCCTCACTCTCAGATGACACCTCCTGCTTCCCCCCAATGTCCTTGAGAAATGGACCCTGGTATTGTTTAGCAATTCAGAGGGTGCAGTCATTCAGCAGTAATGTAAAATGTCAAAGGACTGCTCAGTGTATTAATCTTCAGCCCAGATATCCAAGTACAAGGCTTCTTCTTCTTTTTTAAACATCCTTGTTCGGATGACATTCAAATGCAATCTTAGGGTGCGCCATCTTTGAGAGCCCATCCAGTCTCCTTTTTTAAATTGAAACGTAAACACACTGCAGTTATCAGCTACAGTATATATGCTAATATCCTCCTGTACAGTGACCATTTAAATGATTCAGAAAATCTTCAAGAAATGCAGAGATAGTCGTGTTATAGTCATAATAAATCAAATGTATACTTAGATTTAATCTCAATATCACAGAGACGTTTTGTTAGTGTTCACTTATATGTTTAATGTTTATCCGTCACCTGAAGATCAATGTTATGCACATTTTTTACAGCTGTTTCATGTACTATTATGTCTTTTGTTTATTTGTTGTGTTCACTTTTGTCTTCACTTCATAGACCCCCTCCTACACAGATCATATAAAAAAAGCATTCAGCCCAAAGCTACAACTACAGCATGGGAAGAAGCAATGAAACAGCTTTGAGCTCCACTTCTGTGATACAGTTTAACTCTCTCTTTCTTGCAGAACCAAAGATCAATGCCACCGATCAGATCGTCCTGACGGGGGAGTCTCCTGTCAAACCCGTGACCCTGCAGTGTAACCTCACCACCGCCCATACTCCACACAGAGAGAGCTTCTGGGTGAAGAACGGACTGGAAATCACAAACACACGGACAGAACTGAAGCACACATCACACAGGTGACAAACAGCGTGGCCCCTATGTAGAGACTAGAGAGTAGTGAATATTGCATTGTAGAGTGAATTATTAAAAGGGAAGGGAAGCAAACAAAAATACAATCCTGTCACATCTCAAACAGTAGAGGAGGGAATGTTCCTCGCTGAGACAAAGGCAGAATACTGATCGAGTGTTGCTCACATTTTCAGAAATAGTAACCCAGGTTTGTTGTTCTGCTTGGATAACTAACTTTCTGTATTTGCGTGTAAATGGGTCAGGCCATTGCTGTAGGTATTTTTGTTCTTCTACAGTAAATAGTCAACGTGCATGTTTTGCACGATTACCATATACACGGGAGAGACAGCCTCACATCGAATGTAGATTGTCAGCATGTCAAATTCAAGCAGTTACTGAGGCAATCGATATTTTGACTCTTGTTGCATGGAAAATGCGTTGCCAGGTGCATAATGTGTTCAAGTTTTAAACATCCTCACACCCCTGTTGATTGTTTCTCACTGTTTTCTGAGAAAACTGCCAAATATTGAGCTACAGGTAAGGTATGCAGATAAACTACCATACCTTAAAGTACCAACTAGTTGTTACTTCCTGCTGTCACACGGTATAATCAGTGGAGCACAGAGCTACTGTCGCCCCCGTAGACATAGCACAGACTCTCCATAGCCACAAGATAAGACCAATTGGTCACTTCCTTGTCACATTACATCAGTGATACTCTGAACATTACAGCTAAAATGCCTGTGATGCCCTGCAGACTCCTGTTGTTCCGTAATACAACAGCATAATGTCAACATTTTGTCTAGCATGGCCTTGCAGACGCCTCAAGCTTTCACGGCACAACTAATTACTCGAGTTAAACTGAAATTAGTTGTCATCATTTAATTGACTACCTTCTGACCTTCAGCTAAATTATGAACCATCCAGATCTCTCAGGTCTTCAGGGACTGGTCAGCTTTCTGTCCCCAGAGTCAGAACTAAACATGGAGAAGCAGCGTTCAGTTATTATGCTCCAAATATCTGGAACAAACTCCCAGAAACCTGCAGGTCCGCTGCAACTCTGACTACTTTTAAATCCAGACTAAAGACTTTTCTTTTTGCCGCTGCTTTTAATTGAACTATTCACATCTTAAACATCTGTAACTTTTATCCATGTATTTTTTCTTTTAATGTTTCTTTTATTATCTTTTCTTTTTATGACTGATTTTAAATGCCATTTTCTTAATGTCTTTCATTTTTTGTACAGCACTTTGAATTGCCTTGTGTTGAAAAGTGCTATATAAATAAACTTGCCTTACCTTCAGTGTAAGTGACTGGTAAATGAAAGTTATTAAATTCGATGGTGTTGTGCTTTTTGTTGCAGAATCGTTAAACCACGGGCAGATGATTCTGGCGAATACATGTGTGTTTACACATTTGACATGGCACCGAATGCAAATGCTACAATTGAAGTAAAAGGTAAGATTTATTTTTGACATATCAACACAAACAGTTGTTAGTCCAAATGGCATTATCTGCTTTTAAATTCCTACATGATGTATTCAAATTCTGAAAAGCCCCGGTTTTAGCTTTAGCTTTTCTTCTGGGTTTTCGGAGGGAGGGAATGATGTCCTATATGAGTCAACGACCTGATGCTGAGTGAAGTGGGTCCTTGTTGAAAAAGATGTTTGAATTCATGTTGTGCAATGGTGATGAATGGAAATCCTGAGGCCGTTGTCCCTCTTGGCTTTCACTGAGAGAACCATAGCAAAATAGACAGGCACTGCACATGCTCACTAAAACCTGTAAATACAGAAACCACTGGGAGGCAATCCTACGAGTGGTTATACACAACTCATGGTTCACGATTTGTAAATGTATTTTATGTTTTATAGAAATAATAACAGTAGAGAAACCTAACTAAGACTGTCAATGTAATGTCAAAAAACAATAACCAAACAACTGTGTTGGTTTCATTCAAGCTGATCCCAAAGCCTTCAACTTGAATAAGGGATCTTCTTTGACAAAGGGCAAGTGAAACCCTGTTCACGAGAAGCTTGCCTGTGTGTAGAGCTTAAGCCAATTTGCTGTGGCATGGCTATGGTACATACTGAGCATGCCCTGCCTCATATTCCACGGTGGTCTTAAAGCGCTGCCTGATTGCATAACATGGGTGATGGCCGTGTGTGTTCTGCTTTCACTCGATTGTGAGATGATGGGACTCATCGCCATTCAAACCGAAGTGTCCTAGCCGTCACCGGACTGCAGGACTGTGACTGTTGAGGCTTGCTATCTGTCCCCTGCAGCAAAACGTCATTCTTTGAACTAAACTGATGATGCATGCCCTTTAAATAGGCCTACATCCTATGTCTAAAAAAACAACAGCATGTTTTGACGCTTAGAGCCGCTGGATCCAAACAAAGCATTTTCTTTAAGTTAAACACTGTTGTGATTTTCTAGAGGTGTTTGAGATCTTTTGTGACCCAGGTAGCAAGCCCGCTGTCCTGCCAGCCAGCTTTGCACTGCGCTTCTGGCAGCAGTTCACTGAGATCCCTCGCCTACAGTGTCCTTGGCACACTCATCCTTGCAGGACTCAGCTCAGAGGCAACAGATGGAGGCTTCTGTGATGTTGTAGGATTAAGGCTCTGAATCCCGTCCCAGCCATCTCTGTGGCAGCAGTGGAGTTTATTGTCTGTGATACTAAGCTTACCATAGATACATATTTCGTTCATCATATTCCCCAAATGTCAGCATGAAATATTTTAACATGCATGCAATAATTATTATTAACCATCCAAGTGTATGCAATTCATGTCAATCATAACATGTCACCACTTAAAACAAAAAGGATTTGATTAAATTGCAATCTAAATGTCACCTCTATCAGTTCTTTTAAATTCCTTCTGACAGCTTTGACCTTGCACAACCTTCTCACATCAATATGTCACTTTACCTCCGTCTAGCACGCGGATTAATAATCCCAGTAATCGTAGTCAGGAGTGTGAAATGGAGGTTTCTGCCTGTTGTAGCCCCACACTGAGGGCTGTCTCTGTGCTGTCTGTCACCGACATAATACAGTCAAGATAAGGCACCAACGAGCTTGGCCACTCCCCTGCTCAGGGAGCACGTGCGCACCATAATTACACAGCAGTGATGTCAGCAAAGAGCTCAGACCCCTCCTGCTGCATTATCCATGCGCAGCTGAAAAATGCCAACTCCAGGCGTCTCTCTTATCCTGCTTAATTGCATGGAAGGAATTATTGTCATTTTGAGGATTAGCGGGAAAGCAGGAACAGTTATCTTCCTGCCGCTGTGCAGAGTTACACGGAGAGTCTGTGTCACACCTTTGGGAAAGACTTCTATGGATGGATCAGTCGGACTTGGCATCTGTTGCAGTGCCTTATGACATATGCCGACAATTTATTAAATTCAAAACCTTTGTCTTGCATTTTTATCAGCAGTTTATTCATTAATCGGGGACAATTTACACCGTTTTCCTTTGGCACACAATCTCCTTTGTGGAATTGACTATAGAATCATTTTGAATGGGAACATCTGGTAACGCATATTATACTGATTCCCCGCTTCCCTGAACTCGTTATGAATTGTATTGAAATGCTTTTATCTCTTCCATAGTGATATTCCCCCTTGCTGGGGTTTTGGGTATACAGGCTCACAAAATAGCTGCAAACCAGTTTTATTAAGGGTTGAAGTCCAGTCCAACCATCTGTTCTACTTAATGCCGCTTTACAAATATCCTTTCTTTAATCTATTTTTCTAATAATCTACAAAATCATACTGGGTTATTGTGTCTATGTTTAATCTTTCTATACAGCTTGAACACGACTGGTATTTCATACAAATATACCCTTCTTAATATGAATAAAGGGAAAGCTATTTGTAAGCATTTATCAACTACAGCCCCCCTGAGGTTTTGCCTGCATGTCTATGTTAAAGACTCAGGGGAGCTGTACTCTAATAATTAGAATATAATTAGTGCCACAGCATGTGCTAAAAATGATTTACTTTGGAATCAGCATCGTTTTTTATACAGAATAATAAAGATTGTGGAGCCAAGTGGAAAAAAGGATAGCCTTGAAATGAAGGAAACATTTATTTCTCTGTGTGAGATACTGGGAAGTAATTACATGACTTCAATTAAATAATGCAATGTGATTTGATCTGGACTGCTAAAGTTTAAAGTGGTGGAATAAGAAAGGGAGAATGATCAGCAGTGCTATAGAGACTCTTAATTACACTCCTCTCTTTTACACAGACAGCTGAATAACACACATTATTACCACAGCCAGAGCAGCCAATCACGCTTTCCTTATTCATGCCATCTGGTAGCTGCTAAAACGTGCCTTTGAACGTCTTACTTCTGCCAACTCAGCTAATGATCCGTTTTTTATTTGTTTGTTTCACCTTTCCAGCAAAACCTGCAATCCATGGTCACAAGCGAAGTGAGAATAAAAACGAGGGGGAAAATGCAATGCTTTACTGCAAGTCTGTCGGGTACCCACATCCCACCTGGACATGGCGTAAAATGGACGGAACATCTTACACGGTATGCCAATATACTGTATATACAGAATATATATATATATGAGGAGGCGTGTGGTGCAGTGGATTGTGCGTTGGTGTTCGGATCAGGGGGTCAGGTTCAAACCCCACTGCAGTCAGCATGTCGTTGTGTCCCTGGGCAAGAAACTTCACCCCAAATTGCTCCTGTGGGGATTGTCCACAGTATTGAGTATGTAAGTTGCTTTGGATAAAAGCGTCTAACAAGTGTAATGTAATATATATACTGAATACTGTATGTATACATAAATATGAAAACAGAGATACAATGCTAACAACTTCAATACTCTCCAACTACTACTACTGTCTTCTTTGTACCTTTCTTATTGTATCATTACTTGATGCATTGTCAATATTGCCAATAAAGCATATTGAAACAGACAGACAGGGTATAATAGTACAGTATAATAGTATAAAAATGAAGGCATGCTATATATTTACTCATGTATATTGTTTGTATTCATGTACCTGTGCTATTAATGTTTTATTATCTTTGCTTTTAATGTTTCTAATGTGTTGTATGCTCTTAATGTCTTTCATTTTGTGTAAAGCACTTTGAATTGCCTTGTGTTGAAAAGTGCTATATAAATAAACTTGCCTTTCCTTACTCCAAGTTAAGTCTTCCTAATTTAATCAACTTTAAGGAATGGTTGTTGTGTTGCAGGACATCGACAACTCCACTGGTCGCTTCTTCATCACCATCAGAGACAACTACACAGAGCTCAACATACTGAAGCTGGATATACTCACCGATCCTGCCGTTTACCAATGCAATGCCACTAGTGTGATTGGAAACACTGCCGAGACCACCATTCTACGGGTGCGGAGCAACCTTGCACCGCTTTGGCCTTTCCTGGGTGTGCTTGCAGAAATTATTATCCTAGTAGTCATCATCGTTGTGTACGAGAGACGCAAGAATCCAGACGACATTATTGAAGGTAAGAAAGCTTTGTCCGTGTTATGAGCAGTAGGCACTAACACATAATATGAATGAAGAGTATGAATGAAGGCCATTATTTAAAGAACAATGTTGCAATTTCAAACATTTTAGAGGGTTATTTGTGTCTGATTTTGCCATAGAAAGTATTGTCAAAAGTCATCAAAAGCAAAGTGCATCACATCTTAAAGAACCAGTGTCTAGGATTTAGGGGAATTAAGTGCCAGATGTATAATATCATTTCATAAACATGTTTTAATAAGAATACTATTGTAATGTTTGCCGTGTTGCACCACTATGAAAAACACTGGATTTAGAGAAGGGCTTGTTTTAATATTACCTGAAGCCACCATAGGTTCCAACCGATAAATTCCACTGAATTCTACACACTGTTATTTAATCAATAAGATGTTTACAGAGAATTACCACAAGGTTGCATCTTCTCTCAATGGATATATGTATCAAAGAAATGTCTCGGATTGCCTTGGATGCATGTAAATATGACCTTTATACATTTGTAAACTACTCAACAGAGGCTAATCTTTCAAAGAGTTGGCTGTCTGTTTGTTTGTTTTCATGTTGATAGCAAAAAACATTAACGTGGGTTTTGTCAGCCTGTCGCTATATATACTTATTATATATACTTAATTGGTTACTATTCTTTTCCCTTCCCCAATCTTTCCAAATGGAAACATAATCTAACCGGGTGGTAAGTGAGAGATTCTGCATGGTTTCGGAGATGTCATTTATTTCTGTCAATATGTGTTTACAAACCAGAAGCTGAGATATTAATGCAGTAACGTTTATTTCTTATATACGTTATTGTGAAATGAACATGTGTCTTCATTCATTTCCCCTTTCATAAGGTTGAACCCATAATGTCCGACATGTTTTTTTATGTTTTAACTTGGATTCAAATCCATTTTCTTTCCTTAACTGTTCTTAATTCAAATGAATGCCTGTACATGTATGTAAGCAGTCCTAATGTCACAGGGTAACTTAATCATGTCAATTAACTGTTAGGCTTGGGAGCAGAAGATAAAGTTATTAACTTTGACTGTTAATGACAAAACTTTCCCCATTTTTAAATTGCTTTTTTAGATATTTAAATCCCCAAAACCTGCATGCCTTGATTCAGTTCTTGGGTAACGGCCCGTCCACACTACAGCTTCAACAGCTTCAAAAACGGTTTCCAACGCGTCTGCCCATTCACTTTGAATGGGGTGACGTCACTTTTCGCCGAACTGCATTGTGGGAAGCAGAGCGGAGCTTTCCTGGCGTTTCAGGCTGCAAAAGTTGAGCAATGTTCAACTTTTGAAGCTTCTGAAGCTTTCGGTGGAAGCGTCAGCCAATCAAATCATATGCCAGTACAAGCTCTAGCCAATCAAACCGCTGCTTGTGTGTCAGGGGCGGGAGATTCATGTGATTGGTTGTTGGTCGAGCTTCAGACACGCCCAGCTCCAAGCTTTTTTTGAAGCTGTAGTGTGGACGGGCCGTAACTGTGCCTCTGCTTGGTGAATGCAAACATATGTATACTTCTTATATGAAGTGAATTTTTATTTTAAACAAATATTATCTTACCAATTTGGAGTAAGTCACTCAAGCAGACGCACTGTAAATGGACAGGTAGAACTATTAAGACATAACACTTTAGGACCACTCTTAACAACACATTGGTGTTTTTATAACTCAATAAGAACATTAAATTAAATGAATACTAACATGTAAATCCTCTAATACAGGACCCTTGTTCTTCATTATAATGTATATTATAAAAAGGAGAAAACTTGAGTCGTTAAGGCAGATACAGTCGAAGCCTTACAGCGCCAAAGAAACATGTCTTTTTACCCTAGTGGCTAATTGAGGTTACACCAGTAGGTCTTAACATTATGCCAACATATCAAAAACACAGCTGTATGAACAAATAAAAACACAGGAATCAAAAAGTTAGATTTGTTAACATACATAACCAATTTATGCAATTATTTCAACGTACTTATTATCCTTAGTTTTGTCTTTTTATTCCTAGCATACAATCAGCTTTTCCAAAAGAAATGTCCCGTGTTTTTGGAGGCTAAATCCGACAATGAGAATGTGGAGAGAATAAAATGTCTGGAAAGCCCGAGGGTGTTTCCAGTCACCACAGGTTCTGTCTGACCTCTACTCCCGTAGCTTTGCTTTCTTTTCATTTCCAAATAAAGCATGAACACAAGATAAAAAACAAAATCCCAACCACTAATATACGAATCACTCCAACTGGACCACAGTACACTCTTAATACAGACTGCACACATTGAGCTTCAGGGCACATCCTGCTTTTCATGGGAGAGATCTACAAATGTAATTGTAGTTCCAACTAAATACGAGTTCAATGTGTGACGGATATGAAATAGAAACATCTGTTCGTGGCTTCAGTATTTGAAAGTGATCTTCATCTGGGATTCTCTTTTTCCCACACATAGCTTAAGAGTGAGACCAAACATTAACTGGTTAACAATAGTGATCATTGATGCTTAACAACCCACTGATGAACCATTCATTAGCATCAACACCAGTTGCTATTGCATCACATAGACATACAATACATTCAGTTTTACTCAGTAATATATATCAGTTTGTAGGTACCTACATGTCCTTAGTTGAACATAACAATGTATACTGAACCATTAAAACACTAAGCTAACTGCATTTATAATCATCTGTTATCTTTATTCAAATAGCATTAGGTCATTTCAGAACACTGTTTGCTAATGATCCATAACAATTGTAAATCATTAGGGGAAAAACTGCACTTCACTACAATACTTGCTCAAAATGCATGCATTGCACATACTAACCCTCCCAGCTCAAGTGGGCTCTCTGCATGGCCTCTAGTTGGAATTCATCTACTGGAAAAATGAAGCGATTAAGGTGGATTATATTCGCCATGTCTATGCCATTCAAATCAGGAACGAGAAGTCCCTGCTCACGATGCACAGCCTCTCTAAATTCTCCCTTTAGCATCCCTGTCTGCATGCATTATGAATTCTGCTCTCTTGATGGCTTTGCTGTGTTTGAACACTTTTAGACTCCAGAGCCAAGATGGCTTTTAGGCAGAGCCTGTCAGCCTGACAATTCTATACAGCGTTTCAAAACCAGTTGCTAAATGTACAGATGCTGCTGTGCTTAATAACAGCTCACTTAATGTAATAATAAAGCAAACTTAAAGCTAAAAAACATGCACCCAGACGTTAGAGAAAACAACTGCAATCAGCAAAACATATATGTTACAGTAAAATGTGTGCTTGCAAAACAATTATAGTAAGTATAGTTTTTGTGGTGTATAGATATTAGGTGTTACAACTGTGGGTCATGCCAACAGATGCTCCTCCCCCAAGTAATCACACAACCATGTTTTTGTCTGACATTATAACTGCCATAATCTGCTCCACATTACTGCCATGCTGTTTATCTCTAACTGCATGGAAAATATCTCACTGACTGACTGGTTACCAATACCTACCTGTTGACACATTTTCATCAGTATGCCAAACACCAACCACCCTGTCAACCCCGAGGCTGTGGGTCTTTCTCTGACTAACTTGTCACACAATATTCACTATTTTTCGCCACTTCCTGCAGTGTTTTATGACTGTTACATTGCAATGTATGTTATGTTTTTCACTTTACTTCGAAACGTGCAATTTTTCCATGTTGTTACAATGAATAGAAATAGCACTGCACGTAGATATGAACCACTGTGAGCTGCAGGGAATTAATGCTGAGAGCAAGCTTTGAAGGGATTCTTGTTGTTATGCCAAGTCAGTCACAATGTGACACCAACTCTTTCAAAATCACTGACATTGCTAAGTGTAATTTAAAAGAAGGCTTTAAGTGAGCCATCTGTAATCCTCCTACACATATGCTCAGTCTCTAATGAACAGGAAACCCCTGAGATTCAGTGGAGAGTATGTGGAGTTATGTTTAGAAAGCTTGGCATTAGATATGCGCTTATTAGACCATACCACATGTTCAGCCCCTTTACTACACATTGTGTTCCTCTTTAATGCAAGCAGCTACTCAAATCTGTGAATTCTTGTGGTTTCCTTCTGAGTCTGTAAATCAGACAAAAGGCTGGTGCATTCAAAGCTGTTCAGCAGCTCTCTCCCATGTCGTGATGTCAGAGCTTCCCACCGTCACGACTCTGCCACACCAGCATTCAGATATTCACAGCAATCTGTGCTGTCAGCTGCATCTTCCCACCACATTTATGTTCACTGAAGGATTTTGGTAGTCTATAACAAGCGAAATTCAGGTTGATTTTCACACCAATTGGGAAATCTGTCAGAAAAGTCAATATGTTTGCAGTAAAATGTGTTGAAACATGCAGCAGATATTCTGTATCTAATATCTGGGTTCTGATTTCATCCCTTTTCTTCTTTTCTCTTGTCCAAGACGATGAACCAGCGGTACCAATGTGAGTACATCACTCACACTTATCATTCATGCTGATTTACTGGGTGCTGTGATTTTATTTAGCCATTACCTGAATGTCACTAAATCTCAACCCCTTTTTTCCCCAGGAAAACAAATTCAACAAACAACCACAAGGATAAAAACATTCGCCAGAGGAATGCAAAATAAGCAATTTACTCAAGTAAGACACTGTTGTAGGGGATGGGGCTAAATATAGAACTCGCTGTGAGGATTATCCATAGTCACGCCTTCTCTTGATTCTCTTCACAGATGAGATGGCTAAACTGCAGTTTCTGGAGGTATCAGAGGTGGAGAGAGCTCCGGGCAGTTTCGAAAAAAAGCATATCTTGTCTCATTGTATGAGAAACAATATCAGCATAACACTGGCAACAAAAAGAACATAATGGCTGTCTTAAGCATGCCTTATTCAGTCTATCGTGGAGGTTTCAGGATGACGAATAATGACTAAACCACCACAAAGGTGTACACATTTTAATGTGCTGTTGATGTCTCCTTTATTGATTTAATCATATCCTCAAATGAGGTGATCCCTTTTGTATTACATATCATGTACAATGCATGCAAGGTAATTACGCAATAGGATACTCAGAATAGAGATTTTCTGTTGTTATCCCCGTGTGGCTTTTTTTGCATCTAAAATGACCTATGTTTTTTATGGAGTCATCCCTATAATATATACATGTATATGTATATATATACATATATATAGTTTGTTTTATTCTTGACAATTTGTACAGCATATCATGGTCATTTAACTGTTTGATTTTGTGACGATGAGTCCACTTTTAACAGAACTTTTATTGTGAAGCAACGGCTTCAATGACTGGCAGTATTTACATTTAATTGAGAGTGCTTACAGAAAATGACTCCTGTGTGTTTATCTATCTAAACGAAAAGTGTATTATTATTTTTTTCTTTCCAGAGTAACTTAGGTGTCTTGTATATGTTGAAGTATGAGTGTTCAAATGATAGGAAATCTGTAAAAGATTTTTTTTTTTTTTATATTTCCCAATTTCATTGATTGATTTTTACTTTCTATTTGTTCTCTCTTTAACTGTATAGCATGGCTATAATCCTATGCAATATGTATTCTTAAATAGATATATGGAGGGCAGTTTGTTTAACTCAGTGAAGCTTTAATATTGTGGGATCACTTGGAAGCTGGCATAGCAACATTCACGGCTGTAGCTGCATGACTCCTCTTTCAATACGATGTATAAATGTGTGTTGCGGTGGGAATGGGCCGGCGTTAAGGTGGGACCAGAGGGACCAGAGTATATAGCCACGATCAAACATATGAGTGAGACCAATATTTTTTTTCTGAATAAAAATGTAAAAAAATGAAACCAGCTTTTTTTGTTGTATTCTTCCTTTAACCACTTGAATGCAATACCATGAGAAGCATCCTCTTCAGGGTGAATACAATAACTACCACAGTGTAACATTTACAACAACGTCTGCAGTACAGTAACAACCCATAACCACCACCAGGCACTGTCTACACAAACTCTACACGAATAAAAACGTTGCACTGACTTCTGCCGTCAGCGGTTGTTGGGACTCTTCACTCTGAGAGGATTTTCTTCAGCTCACCCTCCACTTTCTCCACAAATGCGGGAAAGCTGGGATCCATCAGTAACACACGCAGGGTGGACTCCAAGTCACCTTGAATCATAGAATTGTTGCGATACAATTGAGGCAGAATCAAAGCATGCTCTCCCAAGATGTGCTGTGGAAAGACAAACAATAGAAACACATATGTTCATGCTCAATTTAAGAAAGTATAGACACCCTTTAGTTATATATAAACAAAATTACAATGAATATGTTGCACAGCAATTTGGGGTGAGGTGTCTTGCCCAGGGACACAACGACATGCTGACTGCAGTGGGACTCGAACTTGCTACCCCGTGATTCAAAGTTCAGCGCACAATCCCACTGAGCCACAGCCTCCCTTGTAACTTTACAATCACTACCTGAGTCAGAGAAATACTTGAAATGAACAGTGAATTAAAAGCAGACAAACAATAGAAACACCTATGTTAATGCTCAATTTAAGAAAGTATAGGCACTTAGCACCCTGCGCCATATGAAAATCAATGCTCTTCAGTAATATATAAAACAAAATTACAATGAATATGTTGCACAGCGAGTATTTAATTCTGGGTACCACCTTACAATAAGACTACCCTTCATTTATAAACCAGTTATATCATAGTTTGCATACATCAACACAGGCTCACTATTTGGCAAGATGACTAAGCCTTATAATGGCTACTTAGCTAGATTCAACTCAGTGAACAACAGATACCAAGGATGCTGGCTGATGAAGGAGACGAAGTAAGCTAGGTAGCCACTATAAGGCTTAGCAGTACAGATAAATGTGGGTTCACTATTTGGCAAGCAACCGGTCACAGTTGCCCTGTTCATCTCATGTCTTATAAAAGCTTATTAATGATTTATAAAGTGTTCGCAACCTAATTAATAAATGAATTACAAACTATTCGTAAACCTTTTATAAGGGTAGTCTTATTGTAAAGTGGTACCTAATTCTGTTATATCTCACTTGTAACTTTACAATCCCTACCTGAGTAATACGCCTGATGGTCACTGATCCCTGGGCCACTTCAGGCTCAGCTCCCACAGCCGCTTGCTGCACACAGACACACAACAGAAGATGAACTCAGTGTGACTCCATAGGTTTCGATCAATGGCTTCATTATTCATTTAAACATATCCACGCCCCAAAGCCCGTTCATCTTCACTGTGAACTTCTGTACTGTGTCTGTTCACTAAAGAGTCCATTTATGTCTCTGACCTTCGTGTTAAAGGTTGTTATTCACATGGCTGGATTGAAGTTTTACTAAACATTAGAATCAAGGATTAACCGAGTGTTTTCACATTTAAAGAATATAAAATGTTGCTACTGAAATGAAGCAGTACAGACTTTTTGAGGTAGATCGAATCTTAACGTTAACTGAATGCTTTGAAAGCACGTTATATTGTTCTCGGTTTCATAATCAACAATTTGACTGTTAAAGGCAATTTTAAGAATTCATCCAGTGACTTAAAAGGTATGCCACCTTAAGCTTGTATTTATTAATTACTTTTATCATTTTGTGTGTATTCGTTATGGTGGGACACACTGTATTCTACACAATATATTGTATTGTGATTTGCTTCTGATTCATGTACAGTACATGCTCTCATCCTACTGTAGCTGCAGAGGCTAACATTAAGACAGTACTGTAAATAGCACCATCTAGTGAACATACTTTAGCCACTGCTGATGAAACTGACCACAGCACAAAACTTGAGTTTATGCAATCAGTTCTGATTATAACATTAATTATGGCACTTTAAAATGAAGCTGATATTTTATTTTAAAATGTACAACGGTGACATATGAGGTAAGCGTCTGATTTCTACCAAACAAAGACTATAAAAGGTCAAGCAAAGCAGTATGTCTATAATACTGTACAGCCACGACTAAGCCATCTATGTCAGAAGGATTTTCTAACACATTTTAACAGTACAAACAATTTCCTAAATTGTAAAGTGGGCAACCTGTATCACTGGTGCAGGGGTCTCAGCAGGGGACTGATTTGGGGGGCAATGGGGCGTCCTCCTGAGCGGTGACAGACGTGTACTCCATCAGTTTTTTCACAGCGTTGGAACAACCATTTATTGCCTCTGTCTTGCTACTCCCATCAAACTGCATCCTCATTATGCGCCTCACTCCCTGCAGGAAACACACAAACACATTCAAGCTGTGCCCATGAAAGCCCTGTGTGTTGCTTTTGTTAAATCAACAGCTTGTTAAAGGTAATGTAAAAGTAGCTGGGTACACAAGGAGTCTTCCAAATGTAGTTTTAAACAAATCCCGATGGGCCGGTACTGAAGTGGGCCGGTCGAATAAGTCAATAGCACCCTCCGTTGACTATTTACTAGCGGTATTTACTAGCGGTATTTACTAGCGGTATTTACTAGCGGTACCAAAGTGGGCTGGTCGATAGTCCCGGGCTGATTTTTAGTCCCAGTCCGCCCCTGCTGACTAGTCAAATATTTTTGGTAATATTTCAATTTAAGGAGGCTGTGCAGCACTGCAACACGAATAAAAACTATAAATGAAAACCCAGAAAACCATTAGTTTACCATTTAAATTTGTTATAGTGGAATAAAAGTAATGGTCTTGATCTTGAAAGAGAGTGATGGTGTTAGGACAGACCTTGAGAAAATACTACCTATCAAGCCATTGCAATTCATCTCACGACTCACCTCATCTGTAAATCGAAGCATCAGGTTATCAGATTTCTGTTGTACTTTGAAAACTGTGGTTCCACCGAACAAATTGACTGCATCCTGGGGAGAAACACAAGACAACAAACGTCCTTAGCAGCCTGGACAGGAAACAGTATTATCCATAGGCTAAATTAAATGTGGAGGGGGTAAATTATACAGGTGTACTATTCCAAGTGAAGCAGCTCCATTTCCACACATTCACTCTGTAGTGAGACAAAAACAGATACCTCAAACTGTCTGCAGGGGTCTCTATTTACCCAGTAACCTCCGAGCCTAAGCTTTGAGGCTTATCATAAGCTTTTCACACAGGGAATCAAAATAGCAGATGTATTCATCAAAAGCCACATATTAAAATAAGCCTATTCTGTTAAATGTGCCTTTTTTTAGACGTTGATAATAACATTATAGGTATATCAACACGCTTTGATTTGAACAATGGCACTGCACCAGCGTGCTGTACTGAAGCATTATCATTCCACATCAATAGCGCTAAGTAATTAAGTAAGTAAATACTAAGTAGTAATAGTACCTAATTGTATCTGGGTCCATTGCAAAAATACCATCGCTAAATTACTGTAATTGTAGAAATAAAAATAGAGAATTAACAATTACATTTTTGGTGAAATGCTGGTGAATATGCGATATTCAAATGCTTAATTTCATTAGGGAAACAAATGATTGGATTATAATGTCAATTTAAATGCACACATCATTTGGGATTATTAAAAAGGAACAATCTGATGAATGGAAACATACTGCTGTTTTACATAATCCTTCACTCAGGTGGAATGAGATCAGATTATGGATTACTGGTACGGCCTGTATTAGCCTCTGTATATCTTCCATTTCCCTCTTTTCTATTGTATTCTCACATGTTGAATTGTTTTTATGTTTAACTGTCTTGACCCTTGACCCCTCTTGACCAGGACTCGCTTGAAAACAAGATCTTGTATCCGAATGGGACCTTCCTGGCTTAATAAAGGTGTATGGAAATCTAACAAATTTAGATGAAGAATGATGGGAATCTTATTTTATGGCGGTCACAGTTGCCACCTCCCATCCCAGTGGAAGACGTACAGTAAAGGATATTCAGGATCAGCAGATGAGACAGTGCTAATGGCCATCATCAAAACACCAAAAGTCAGAATATCTTTTTTTAGGAGGCGTGTGGTGCAGTGGATAGAGCCTTGGTGTTGGGATCAGGGGAGCACAGGTTCAAACCCCACTGCAGTCAGCATGTCGTTGTGTCCCTGGGCAACACACTTCACCCCAAATTGCTCCTGTGGGGATTGCTCACAGTATTGAGTATGTAAGTTGCTTTGGATAAAAGCGTCTAACAAGTAACATGTAATGTAATAATGTAATCTTTTGAAACAATAGTTATTTGTACCTATAAAAACAATGCCATGTACTAATTTATCTTCTCTGGTGGCTCAAACAGACAGTATACTACAGTTAATGTTGTTTTTCCCTTTAAATTGTTATTGTAAATGTGTGAAGGGTGCATTTAAGCTTATTTTTAGATGTAGGACGATGTCTGTGAAGTCAGAAATAATCTATATTTTAATGCAAGCTCTGGACTGGAGCTCCTCATATGCAGGAATCCTGAAGTCAAATGTAATGCCTTTTAAGACCCTTTCCATACATTTTAAGACCTCATCGCCACTTCGAGTTTTAACCAGTTACCTTGGCGACACACTTTACCTCACATTGACTATATACAGTATTGATCGTCCTTCCTCCTTATCTTCCAACCATTTGGACGCAGACTTGCATTTCCCCATAACGATGTTGTTTAACAATCGGCGTAAACGGACCTTTGCGCGCTATCAAGCAGTGAGCGTGCGATGTCCTGTTCAGATGACGTCAAATCCAACGGGATGCCATAAATAAACTACACAGAATCACACTACACACTAGGGCTGAACGATATATCGTGTCACGGCGATAACCGCGATATTCACATCGCAGGGACGTGCGATATTATTAATTTTGTTATTACATTTTTTTTCATTTTTTTTGGACGTGCGATATTAAGTAGGTAATGTTACAATTATTTTGCTGCTTGCTACAAAAGGAAAACTTGCGCGGCTCTCATGTCAGGGGTACTTGAGTGAGTGACATGCAGGCTCTGCATGCACAGCAAACCACCAATCACAATCATTCTTGATCAGATCACAGCAGGCCCCGCCCCGCTAGTTTGCAGACCATCAAAACACCGGTAAAAAATGAGCGAGGCACAGGAGGACAATACCGGCGAGAATGAAGATTTACTTCCAAAAAGAAAAGCAACATCTGCCATCTGGAACTATTTTGGATACAAAAAGGTTCTTCTCTTCTTCATTCACAGATGAACCCCCTTATTTGAGGGTAAGCAACATGCATTATCATGACTAGTGGTGCACGATAATTATCGGCCCGATAATTATCGGTCCGATATTAGATATTAGGTCATCCCGATAAACCCGATAAAAGTATTAATAGCCCCGATAATATACAATATATTTTTTGGGTAAAAAAAAAGAAAAAATACTGCGGTGTGGGTGGATTGGGATGAGGGGCGCTTGTTTTTCACTCGGCTCCTCCGTTTTGCCAGTACTGTGGTATTAGTGGTTTAGGAAGAGGGGAGTTTTTCACAAATCCAGCGCTCCCTAACTGCCTGGCTGTGACGTAAATGGTGTAAGGCCGTGAAGCCAGGACAGTAAACAAACATGTCGTCGGTAGTATGGGACTATTTCAAAGTTTCAGAGTTAGATAGTTCGCTTGCTATTTGTATTAACAAATGCAATGCAGAAGTTCCACGAGGAGGGAAAAAGGCAACGAGCTATAATACTTCCAACCTGATTAGTCACCTGAAACATCGCCATCGCTACGATGGTGTGTTAAAAGCGTACGAAGACGCCTGCGCTGCTAAACTAGCGGCGAATCCAAAGCCAGCTGCAAAGGCACCGGGGCTTTTACCTATCGACGAGGCTTTTGAAAAAGGCAAGAAGTTTGCCAGAGACGACCCCAGGGTTAGTTTTGTTCATAGTAGTAATGCTCATGTCATTTGCTCACTACTAGTCTTTTTTTTACCACCAGGTGTGCAAAAACTACAGGTACATTCAATATATATATTATATTATTATCGGTTATCGGTATCGATATCGGTCTTGAGAAGCAGGAAGGTATCGGTTTAAAAAAAAACAATATCGTGCATCCCTAATCATGACATGTTAGATCATGACTTAAGGTATGATGAGTCAACCAGTTAAGATCCAGACGTCCGTGACTAAAATCCTTCATCCGGTTAAATATAGTTAAAAAAACGCAATATATATCGCAGGGGAAAAAAATATATCGCAATGTCAGTTTTTTTCAATATCGTACAGCCCTACTACACACCTACGCAATGATTAAATTCAGGCAGACTGTAGAATACAACCTCTTTGGACAATTTATATACTTATTGATACAAGCTACAAAATGTAATACCTTGGAAGATGCCGTTTAATACTTTTTAATAGCCTTAATTTTCGCTAAATTGATTTATCAACTTGTAATACTTTTTAAGACCCCGCGGACACCCTGGAAGTAGTGTTGCACGGTGTACCGATACTTGAAAGGTACCGCGATACCCTGCCGTTATAAACGGTACGATTCCTCCGTTTCATTAGTATCGGTACTTTAAGAATGACGGGGAAAAGTACTCCGGTGAGAAAGCGCCGTTTTAATAAAGAGCCGTGTGTGTTCAGCGCTCTGCTTCCACTCCCTGCACTGCAGCCGTGCCTGAAGTCCCGCCCCTCTCAAGCACGTTCTAAGTCCCTCCCCTCTCTCGTGCACTCGGCCACGCGCTAGCTGCCAGAGCATGTGAGAAAACGAGAAGCATGGCTGCAAGTGGGAGTGCAACTGCCGCTGCGCCTCGGCTTGTTGACAAAAAAGACGCCAGAAGCGAAATTTGGAAGTATTTGAGCTATATCTCTGACAGTGAGGGCAAGCCTATGGACACCACGAGGCCTGTCTGTAAGACATGTTTTAGATCCCTGCAAACCAAGGGAGCCAACACATCAAACTTGGCTAAGCACCTCGCCAACCGGCATCCAGACAGGTTAGCGAATGTGATAGATAACATAATTACATCATGCTCAAGCCCATGCCCTCAAATCTAAGTCAAACCAGTGTAATTTATTTTGTGACAAACGAGGCAATTAATGGCAATGATAACTGTCTAATATGGCTATCTTTTTAGCTAACTTACCAATGTGGCTAACATCTGCAATATATATTTTGTTAATAATTATTTATATTACTGTACTATTACATGTTAATAAAATATTAAAACAATTATATTTTATCAAATAAAAAAGTTGTTTGAGATGATGCTGAATTTTATTTAATACGAATTCTTATCATTTATTTTGTTTATTGTTCTCATTGTTTAAAAGTTTGTGTTATGGTTATGGTTCTGATGTGAAATAAAGCACAATAATTACATTTAAGACTGTTTCCCTTTTTTTAAGAAAAGTATCGAAAAAGAATCGGAATCGCAATTCTTGACTTGGTATCGGTATCGAAACCAAAATGTTGGTATCGTGACAACACTACCTGGAAGTACATTTCAGTTGTGTTCAAAGACAATTCCCAAAATGCTCTTAAGAATGTATAATGTAACCTAAAGAACGAAGCTCTCTGTGCTGAAGCTTCCAGAGCATTCCCTGCACCAATCTTTAATAGACCAGTCTATCATCCTGGGTGAAAGCTCTGTGCAGTCTGACCTGAATACCTGTCTGGCACCCTGGTGCAGCGAGATAGCTATGTCACCTGACAGAACTTCATTAATGAGACATTGAGTAGTCCCTCACATTTGTGTTGCCTGCACGGCGGGAAGTTAACTTTTAAAAAGGTCACAACAACTGGTAAAATCTCCAGATTCATTTAAAATCTTTACTTTGGCAATGTAACCAACCTAAAGATAAAAGTTTATCTGTTGACAAAGTTGATTGAACACCATTATATTTGAAGGTGAGATTGGTCACATTTGCTATTAGCCTACTTATATGTACATGTGCTGTGCCAAGGTTGGCAACTAACCAATGTATGAATAGGATAACAAATGCCAAGTCCATGTTCAATGAGGCATATCAAATGAAATTGAATCACGGCATGCAAATTCACACCCGACCTGACTACCATACAAAATATATCAAAATCTGAACCAAGCCTGAAGTGGGATTATACATTTCTGAGTGACATTTGGCGCGACCCCAGCATCACAATCCGGTCAAATGTCATAAAGTTTGAGCGGAAATGTCGAGCTCTTCACCAGAATATTTCATATGCCCTTAATCGAAGATTGCTATCCCGAAAGCAGATTTCTGTTACAGATTTACATTTGAGGAAGTGTAATGCAATTCGATGAAAGGTGGGAATGAAAAATGCCTTTTATATATATAGGTCGTAATTGTTTTATATTCACAGAGAAGCTATAATAAAATCAAAGCATACACATGAACACAAACCCTACAACATAGTGGTAAATAATATGATTTACTCTTTGAAGAGAGTGGTAGAGCATGTCCAATCCAAAAATGTCCTTTTGAAGTAGCATTGCTAACAATTAACTGAGTTCATACAGGATGCTCCATTTATATTGAGAAGCACAACAAGTAATAACAACTGTGTCGGAGCATGACAACCGCAGCTTCATCCTTTAACGATTTTAAGCCATTTTTGTTAAAGCAGCAGGACTTTTTCTGAATTGAAGAGCTTCATGGACAGCTACACTGCAACGGCTAACCTATGCAACAGTGTTCCTTGTTCTGCTACAGTAGAGGCAACATGTCAAGGTCTTATGAGCTAGACGTTGAATATTAACACCATTTTTTAAAGCATGATTTGTCTTTGTTAAATCCTCACGAGTTTCTGTTCCTATGATTAAATGCTCATACCGCTTGTAGGTAAAAGCAAAAAGAGGCTTTTGTAGATCCATTCATACAAGTTGGTGAAAATAAAATGACTACCTGTTTATCTCCTCACACTCACAGTCTTAAAGATAATCTCTAAAGTCACGTGCGCTCATTTGTGACGGTAACAAATAAAACATAATATACAGTAATTGCAATTTTCAGAGTAGACACACGTGAGTCAATAGAGCTTGAATAAATGTTTGCACTGATGTACATTTCCCAAAGATATTGAAGTAAATGTTATTTTGTATATATTGATTGTTGTGCTTTTATCTTAATGTGTGCATATGTATAAATGTGTCTGGTAATTGTGTATATATAGGATATACATCTTTTTATATATATTTGTATTTTTGTATTCGGGATTGTGGGAAACGGTATTTTGATCTCTCTGTCTGTACACACAAACTGAAAGATGGACAATAAAGTTGATTTTGATGATAAACAATATTTAACTGCTAAAGGCATTTGGCTCACTTTGTATTGAAAAAACTGAAGTCTATCTTGAAGGTAGGGCTGCACGATATTGGAAAAAACTGACATTGCGATATATATTTTTTTCTCCTGCGATATATATATTGCGATATGGAAAAATACAGGAATTGAAGAAAAGACAGTTTTTTTTGTCCGCAAACCATCCTTTCTTGAACTTTAATGCTATACCAGTCAGAACTAAACATGGAAAATCAGCGTTCAGTTATTATGCTCCAAATATCTGGAACAAACTCCCAGAAACCTGCAGGTCCGCTGCAACTCTGACTACTTTTAAATCCAGGCTGAAGACTTTTCTTTTTGTCGCTGCTATTAATTGAACTATTCACATCTTAAACTGCACTGTAACTATTATCCATGTATTTTTTCTTTTAATGTTTCTTTTATTATCTTTTCTTTTTAATGACTGATTTTAAATGCCATTTTCTTAATGTCTTTCATTTTTTGTACAGCACTTTGAATTGCCTTGTGTTGAAAAGTGCTATATAAATAAACTTGTTTTGCCATACAATTGGTATTTTTTTAACGATATTTAACCGGATGAAGGATTTTAGTCACGGACTTCTGGATCTTAAGTTATCAGAGCAACAAGCTGAGCTAGCTCGGTTATCCTGCTGTGATCTGATCAAGAATGATTGTGATTGGTGG